CGGGGTGGGGTGGGGTGGGGTGGAGAAGAAGACACCTCCTCTTTCCCAGGTAGTCAAGGCCACCCATCGCCACAGACGCCAGTGCATTTAAAACAGACAGAAAAGGGGGTTTTAAGAGGTAAAATTGTTACCAGGCAATTACAGAATCATCTGCCGTGGAAGAAAAGCGTGGACTGAGCTAGCAGAAAGGCCTCGTCTGTGAGCTCAGTTCCTGGGAGTGCTGCAGGCCTGGCGCGCAGGTCTCTTGTTAGCCAGCTGGAGGTGGCCTCCCTTCTTCCAGGATGTTTTTTTCCCAGCTTCCCCCACCACCCTGCATTTCCTGGTGGTCTCTTAACCAAGTTGGGCTCTAACCTGCTCAGTATTCCTGGAGCGCCTGCATCCTGGGATTTTTGTCCTGCACCTCTGAAGGGATGCAGCTCAGAAATGCTAAATAAATTAAAAGTCAGCAGTGATCGTATCAAATCGGCGCTAAAGCCTGCAAGTCACTAGCAAAAGCAACAGTCATCTGCGGGCGCCTGCACAAATTAACAGGGGTTTCCTTTGCTGCCTCGAGGGCTCTGAAGCTTCCAGGATGGCAGGCCCCAAACAGCGGGTGCCTGTCGGCTGTGGGCCTGCTCCCGGGCGGCGGCGGCGGCTGCTGCTGCTGCTGCGCGAGAGAGTTCCCTGGGCAATGTTTGGGTGGTCCCAGTGGTCCTCCTCCAGAAAGCGTGTTCTGCGCCCTCTTCCCCAGATCCAGATGCTTCAGTGGCACCTCTCCATCCGGACCCCTGGGTGAGCTGCCCAAGAGGGGCTCCCTGGCAGCTTCTGGGCGCAATTCAGAGTGCTGGTGATCACCTCTAGATCCCTGCATGGCACGGGGCCGGGCTCCCTAAGAGCCTCTGCCCCGTTTAATTGGGGGGGCGTGCTTTGGGTCCCCTCCTTGAAGCAGGGCCGTCTGATGGGACCAGAGGGCAAGAACGACCTCTCCCCAGGGTTTGATCCGCCCCAGCCCCGCCGGCCTTTAGGGAAAAAGCGCTTATTTCCCCAAGTGCTGAGGCCTGGAGGAGCAAGTTCCCATCAGAAGAGCGTAGGAATGTGAACCAGGTCACGCATTAGAGATTATCGTTGCGTGTGGTGGTTTTACGTTGTTGGGTTTTTGCAGGCCTCCCAGAGTTGCGTGGGTTGAGTTGGGCGGCCCCGCGAAGTATCGTGCCTTGATGCCGCTCTTGCCAGGCTCTGTTTGAAGCTCCGCTCTTTGTTTCTCCATAGAGAGGGGGGTCCCGATGGAGGGGGCAGACCAGGAGCCAGCTGTGCAGACCCACCAGGGTTCTTCCCCGCCGAGGGAGAAGCCCTTCCCCTTCTCTGCCTGGGAGGAAAGCTCGGGGGACGAGAACGGCCTGGTCATCCACAGCCAGGTGGAAGAAGAGGAGCACAAGTGCGCCATGTGTGGAGAGAGCTTCAGCCAGCCTCTGGGCCTCCTGCGCCACCAGAAGCAGCAGCACGCCGGGGAGCGGGCCTTCGTGTGCCCTGAATGCGGCCGGGGTTTCAGCCTCAAGCACAACCTCATCATCCACCAGCGCATCCACACCGGCGAGAAGCCATTCGGCTGCGGCGTCTGCGGGAAGCGCTTCAGCCTCAAGCAGAACCTCCTCACCCACCAGCGTGTGCACGGGGGCCCCACCAGGCGGCCCTTCTCCTGCCCCGTCTGCGGGAAGAGCTTCCGGGACGAGCGCCTCCTCCTGGCCCACCAGAAAAGGGACTGTGGCACGGCCGGCGAGCAGGAGCAGGAGCAGGGGGGCCTTGAGGGCCAGCAGGCGCACGTCCCAGGTGGCGAGGGCGAGCCAGATTTGGCACAGAGGCCGCTGAGGGTCAAGCACCAGGAGAAGCCCCACCAGAACAGAGCCGCCTTTGCCCGCCGGGGGTCTGGGGAACCCTTGGGGGGCAGAAGTGGCCTTGCAGGCCCTCAGAGGACCCAGCGAGCTAAAGAGGAGGGCCGGCGGGGCATCAGCCTGGAGGAGACCCCGAAAGGCCCGAAGCAGAGGCTCCGCGCGGGGGACGCCCCCTTCCAGTGCCTGACGTGCGGGAAGAACTTTTCCCAGAAAGGCCACCTTGCTGCCCATCGGAGGAGCCACCTGGAGCAAGAGACCCCCAGCTGAGGCCGGGCAGAGGGGATATGCCTGAGGGGCAGAGCGCCGGGGAAAGGGAGGCGTTCAGAGCAGAAGGCCGGCAGCAGGGGTGGAGGGACGCAGGCTTGAGAGGGACCAGGACCGGCTGCTGGGGAGAACGTGGAGCCCCCCGACTTGCATTCCACGGTCTGTGCAATCTGTTGCTTGAGGAACAGGCTGGAAAAGATCCCTTCAGGTTCTCCATAAAGCCCCCTTTCCACGGATCACCACCTCGAGCTGAAACAAAGCTAGAAGACCCAGGGTGTTTTCCATATCTGACTTTCTCCCACTTTGTACGCTCTTCCTCCTTTTCGGCAGTTGATCCACCACTTGGTTCTGGAGCAAGTCCTGTCATTTTGCATCCCAATTTTTTTCTTTTCTGATTAAGAACATGGCCCTTCCTCCTAAGCCTGCAGAGCACAGACGGTAGCAGAATCGCGCGCATCCCTGGCTGCCATGGTGGCGAGGGGGAACGGGGGCGAATTGTGCCAAAGACGCCAGGGCCCAGGTGAAGAGGAATCGGGGCAGTCGTTTGGCCGGCCACCCCAGAGCTTTGCAAGGGCTGACCTCCTTGGGAGCTGTTCCCCTGACATTCCCTGTGGACTTGAACCCACGAGGCATAGCGTGAGCAAAGAGGATCGTGATGCGCCGTTGGCCGTGGACACACTTTGGTCGGCAGCTGCGTTTTGGAAAAAGGCGGAGCAGCCTGGCATGTTTGGGCAACTAGATCACACAATCCCCCGGGGAGTCCACCAAGGAAGGGGATGGCACTAGGGAGGAGAAAGATCCGTGGAGGAGCTGCGCCTCGTGGAAAGGCTTCTGGGGCTGCTGCACCACCACGAGCCTGAAGGACCAGCGTGGGTCCGGCAGAGAAGCCTCTTGGGGGTGAGCTGCTCTGGAGACGGGGACCGCTTTCCAGTGGGGAGAGGAGCTCCTGGAAGACTTGGAGGAGCCGGGTCCCGAGAGGTCCTTCGCTGGCAAGTTCCGTCTGCCTCGGCCCCTCCGCCATCCGGCTCAGCCTTCTTGGGTTCCTTCCTGGCCTCGGCCATCTCTGCTGCTTTGTGGTTTGTCTTTCCCTTCAGTTTGTCCGTTATAAAAGTTGACTGTTACCGTGTTCAGCCTGTTTCAGAGGCTTTTAAACACTCCTGGTTCAGCTGGCGGGTGAAGGTTGCCCAAAGGCAGGGCTGACTGGCTGCTGCTCTCTCCATTTCCTGATCTGATGGGAGCAGACCAACCCAGCGCTCCCCCGCCCCAGCCCCTGCTGCTTTTCCCATCAGTGCTTACGAGCTTAGGCTCAGCTGAAGTGCCAAGATGTGCCACTTCCTGGCACGCCAAGGGGCAGTTGGGCGAGGCACCCGGGGACCCCGGTGGTGGGAAATCCTGGGGAGGCCGGAGGGAAGGAGGGGGCTGCCTTGCAGATGCGCAGCTGTGATGCAGAGGTCCCCCAGCTGAGGGGCGGGAGAAAAGGGCCTGGGGGTGGGGCTGATGCTGGACAAGGACTGGGCGGCTCACGCACACCCCTCCCATCCTTTCTGTGGGCCTGAGAGATCGCACTGCAGGATTCCAGCAGGAATCTGCTGAAGAATGGGGCGTGAGGATTTCCCACGGATTTTCCCAGAGAGCATGTTTGAATGCGGCGTAAGGATTTGGGCCTGGGGGGTCAACACCCTGGGCTAGAAGGCCAGGAAAGGCTATCTGTCCAGGACCTTTTGGCTCATTTGAGGCATTCCGGTGGGAGCTTCAGTGTGGGGTTCGGGCAGGCGATCTCTGGGGTTCCCCCTGCTGTGTTGCCACCAAGAAGCCCTTCCCCCAACCCCAAAAGTTGACCAGTTTGCTGCTAAATCCTGCAGTGTGATCAGGGGTGCGGAGAGGCCACATGGCCGTGGGTAGCCACCCAGCTTTCCATTTCGGCACCCCAGAAGCCGGCCTTTTCCTTCCCGCCCGGCCCATCTGTCCTTGTGCCATGCTGTCCTCTGGCCTTTAGCCCTTTCCCCCCAGCTCCTTGCCCATGAAACATTGCCCCCCACCTTGATTTCTGCACTGAACTAGAGAGAGGGGCAGCCCCCATTTGGGGGGTGACACCCTGTCTTAAGGCAGTCAGCTGGGCCAGGTGGAGGAGCCAAGGCCCCAAGAGATCAACCACCTTGAGTTTAGCACAGTGGCCTTGGAGAGGGCAGGCTGCCATTTCTTGCTTGCAGAATTTGTGAGGACCAGGCCTGTCCTGTCCCTGCTGGCTGGAGAGGAAGCGAAGCCCCCACACCTTCCAGCCATTTGGCTGGCTGTTACCTACTGGGGGTAGTGGCTAGCCTCTGGGTTGGCAGGGCAGGTGCAGAGATCATCCTGTGTGTCATTTGGGGGGTCCCTTCCTTGCCCTGCCTACTCATGGGTGTGGGGAGATACGCAAAGTTCTGCAGCTCTTGTTAGGAGAGAATGCCCCCCACCACTAGGAAACCTCTCCTGCAGTAGTGAGGGCTGGTCAGTGCCATGCGCCCTATGGAGTGCCCGCCTTCCTGCCCCAGTTCTGCAGGGCTGCTGTCTCAGCTCCTCCGGGTGGCAAGTCTCAGCCTGGGAGTAGCTCCCCCCCAAAGTAGCACCGGGGGATGCCGCTGGTGGTTCCTGGGGCCAGTTCTCCAGAAGCAGGCAGCTGGGACCTGTCTTCTGGAGCCCTCGGTGCAGCCTCAGAGAGCACCTGGGCTCCCCAGTTCAACCCTGAGCTTTGGGTCTTCTGCGGGAACTGTCTTTTTGGGGAGTGGTGAACATAGCGTTGGGTGGAAGAATCTCTTGGCACTGCATGGCGAGTGAAGGGTTTTGGGGGGGTGTCTGTTTCCTGCTCTCCCCATCTCCATCTCTCCCTGGGCAGCCCCCCCGGTCCTCTGCTCCTCAGAACCGCAGTGCAGCCCCTTGCGGCAAAGAGGGCCTGCGACAACCTCCTGGGGAATCCGAGCGCCCCTCCTTCCACGGACGCAGCAAAGTGCCAGGTGGGGTCTGGCTGCTTGGGAATGCCGGGGCCTCCGCGGGACGCCTGATGCAAACAGCCGTGCACCTTATTTCCCCCCACCAGCTTGAGCCTCTTTCTTGGTTGAATAAAATGTTTGCCTTCCCTTCTGTGCCTCGCTCTGGTGCTTTCGGGGTGGGTTCAGTCCACAGGCCCTGGCTGGCATCGCTCGGCTGTCTTTGCCGGGTGACTTTGCCGAGTTGAATTGTGGTTGCCTCCTAAGGCTCCTCCTCCCAGCTCCGTGGCACCGGTGATTCCTCCTTGCAGTGCCACTAACCCTTCCAATTGTCTTGGAGACCTTTAGGTCGGCCGTGTTTGCACAACGTGCTTCTGGGGTGGGGTGGGGTGGGGT